ACAATAAGGTAAAGATAACAGGAGTTTTCAATGTTTTGATTAAATAGTTGTAAATAGCAGTTAAAAAAAGAAAAAAAACATTTTTTTTTAGAAAACTCCTAAGAATTTAATGGCTCTTGATGCACCACCATCATTGATAATTATGTTTATCTTTTACCTTTTTTTTGTTTGCATTAGCTTTCCTGGTCAGGTTTTTTTGTGTTTGTAGGTGCTAGTTCTAGTAGTTCTAACAGGAAAGAAAAATGGTGAAAAGTGAAAGACAATACAGTTTTGTGGCAGAAGCTTTGACCCTTTCAGATAGAGCATCAATTCCCAGTCACTGCCTATAGTTAGCAATGTTTGATAGTGTTGGCTCTTTGACATCAGATTCGGTAAACACAGAATTGTCTGTTTATAGCACTACCTGGCATGTCCACAATAATTTGAAACATTCCTCATGACATGGCACTGATTTTAAAAAACAAATTTCATGCTGTAATGGATTCTATTGTTACAAGATCTTTATTGTGTCTGGTCTATGTCATGTAAAATTGTTACTGTCACTTGTGTATGTGCGTACTTGCGTTTATCATACACAGCATCTTTAGGTTGTATGTTGTACTCACATACCATTGGAAAAGGAAGCTTACGGCTTGTATCCTAGCTTTGTTTCTGTGTTTTTTCTGATTAAGAGGATGATCTTGATTGCACTTGGATAAATCTATAGATTCTACAGTTGTTTCTATTCATAGATCATCATATGGCAGGCTGTCTTTGACTGCCCAAGGATTTTAATAGTGAGGAAGATGTGCAACGATGGCATCAAGAAATGAGAGAAATGAAATCCAACTTAACATTAAGCATTAGAAACACCACACAGAAGGTTTCCACATCTGTCTCCAGAACTTCTCAGAGGGGGGTGTTGAGATGAACATTTCTTATTGTTCATCTTCACTCAGAACGACCAAGCGACCAGTCACACCACTGAGGTGGAAGGGGTGAGGCAGGGGTTGTTTGTTGTGTACAGATTTTAATGGACTCTATAACTCATTGAAAAACAAAATCTGAGCTTCTGAACTGAAATACTACAGAAACATTCTTAGAATACCATGGACAAAGACGAAAAACACCAACTTCCTGCATGATCTGAGCTTGGAGTAGAATTGGCTCATAAACAACATTCTGTCCTGAAAGTGGAGGTATTTGAGTCATGGTAGCCTGGTGAGAACGATAATGGAGAAAATAATGCAGAGGTAGACCTCTGTGATTGTGGATAGAAGACATTGAAGATGCTTTGGCTATGCAAGCACAATTGGCTGGAGAAAGAAAGACTTTCATATGCAAGCACAATTGGCTGGAGAAAGAAAGACTTTCATATGCAAGCACAATTGGCTGGAGAAAGAAAGACTTTCATGTATACCATTGATACGAGCGACGTTCTGTCAAAGACATGCTGACTGATGATGATGAATTCAAACTGGTGTCCTTCTTGACAATGGCTCCTAGGTGAACCCAGCCTAAAATGGATACCAGAAAGGATCCTGGGAAGCAAAGATGGCTGGTGTGTTGTTGGCCACATCATCTATCAAGTTGCAATTTATTGATAACAATGTGAGTCAATCATCATCATGTGTCCAAACACCACTGCTGTCAAAGCATCCTTTTTATTTGTCCACATGTCCACTGTGGTAAATCCTGATGTGCCTGTGTCTGTCAGACTGGTGAGTCTTGGTTTGAGTTTAGAGTATAGTGACATAGCCACTGCAAGCAAAACATCCACATCACCAGCTTTGCCACAAAGGTTCTGGGAAATTGTGAAGGAAATTTTAACCAGTAAATATATTCCAGCAGTTTGTTTACAACTAAAGTGTGCACCTTGTTTATCTGCTATTTACATGCTGGGTCAAAAGTAAGTATGGTAGATATTTTTCTCTTGTTCTCTTTGTTGTTTAGAAAGTACCCCATCATCATTGTTACTAGAATTTTTGCCTGTGATGCTGTGACATAAAATAACACACATTCTGACTTGCACAAATGCTGTTTAACTTCTTCTTCTCTTCCACCTTGTACCTCAGTGAAGTGTCAGGGGGTAGATGTAACATTCGTTGATGAGCTCTGTCAAGAGCACTATTAATACTGATGTTCATTTCTGTAAGGCTGTTCTTGATACCATCACTCCATATTTTCCTAGGTCTTCCACTCGCTCTATAACCAGTGTAACATTTTAGTGTGGCTCGCTTACTACTAGTACAAGGGCATTCTTGTTAGGTATCCAAACCACTTCATTTGTTCTTTGATGATTAACACGTGCAACATATACCACGAGTGAAACTTCTTCTCTGCCTGTAAACTCCGTCGAAAAGTTCTGGTTGTTCAGCAGGTTCTGGAATTTGGTCTTGTTCCAGAATTTGAGTTTTGTGTTGTGAACCCATTTTCTCCTCGATAAATTATGTCCCAGACGGAATGACTTCAGCTAATAAATATGAATGAGATCCTTTATAGAGATCTAACTTCTTTGTAG